TGGCCCTTGGCATCCTCCGATGAGAGGCCGGGCGGTTCCGGACCGCCCCAGTCGCTCGCCCAGGTGAGGGGACGGGACCGGGTTCGGTTGGTCAGCACTTTGTCCAGTGTCTCGGGACCTCAGGCGGGTCGGAGGTGGGGAGGTTTGGCTTCATCTCAGCTGCCTGCTGTGGTGTCGACACATTCGCCGCCTTTTGCTCTCCCTACCTGCAGCACCAGGACCTGAGACCGGTGTCGTAGGTCAGTGGGAAGGCCTGGAAGGGCCGGGACCGTCGGCTGGCGGGGTTTGGGATGCCGGAGTGGCCCGGCGGCTGGGGAGGAGGCAGGTGGGCGGCGCCCGCTCGCGGGTGTGGTCTCCGCGGGAGGACCGTGCACCTGCCGGCCGCGGCGTCAGCCCTGCGAGCACCTGGCTGCGGGCGACTGCAGGCTGCTGAGCAGGGGCGGTGGAGCCCTCGGACCCCCCTCGGCAACCAGGCGGGGTGTGTTTTGTATTCTGAATGGGTGCTTGCTGAGTCTGCACTATGGCAGAGAACGCATTTCAGCGGAAACGTTATCTTGGTCAAAGGGAGGTGAAAGGAAGTTGATTTTCCTTTTCAGAGTGTTAGTTGTCTCCTACCCCCCACCCTCCCACTGCGCTGGCCTTCGTTTTTGCCTGTAGAAAGTTAGGGACGCTGGTCAAAGGCCAAGAGTTCTTGTAAATTTCCTCTGTAAGGAAACCATGGTATTGGAAGTGTCCAAGTGTGTAAGTTTCAACTGGTTTCATGTTGCTGCTTTCGCTTCATTTACGGCAGTGAAGCTGATGTATTCTAAGTTAACTAGACCCATCAAGTATAAAAACAGAGGAATATACCAGAATATTTCTTTTAAAAATATATTTTATTGATTTCAGAGAGGGAGAGAGAGGGAGAGAGAAACATCAATGATGAAATAGAATCATTGACCAGCTGCCTCCCTGCATGCCTCCCACTGGGGATGGAGCCCACAACCCGGGCATGTGCCCTGACTGGAATCGAACTGTGATCTCCTGGTTCATAGGTCAACAACCACGGAGCCACGCCCTGCCGGGCCAGAATATTTATTTTATAAAACTATTGAGTGGTACATGATGTGCATATATTACCTCATGTAGTCATCATAACAATCCTATCATGTAAGGCCTTTTATTCTCATTTTACAGATGAGAGAACTAAAGCCATAGCCTAAGAAACAACTCGTCCAAGTGCTCTCCCTCCTGGGAGCATGCCTGTGCCTTTCCCTTTCCCTTTCCCTTTCCCTTCCTTCCCTCCCCCCCTTCCCCTCAGGCACCTTAGCATTAGCTTTCTCATGCCCCAAACTCCAAGGGCCCTTCTTTTAAGTCTATAACATGCTTCCTAAGCCCATTTCTTCTAGGAATTACTTTTTTCCACTTCTGTAATTTACTCAATAAATGTTATCTTAAAGTTAAAAAAAAGAAAAGAAAAAGAAAAGAAACAATTCGTCCAAAGTCAGAGCTGTGATTTAAACCGGGTGATTCGACTCCTGGTTACAGCCCCTTAATCAGTGTTATTTGCAGGTTGGTTTTCATTTGTTAAGAAATGTGCTAGGTGCTGGGAATAGGAAAAAAAACTGAGGAGCTGCTCGTGCCAGCAGAGACCAGCAATCTGAGAGAACTTTTTCAAGGCCACACTTAGAGAATGTTTTGAAGGTAGGATTCGACCTCTAGAACCCTCTAACGAACAAAATCATGCTTTTTCCATAAGTACAGTAAGTAGTTTTCAAATGTTTGGTAGGCCATAGTTTGGAAATTGTGGTCTTATTCTAGATTTTCTAGAGTATTCTAGGAGTATTTTTTATTTGGAAACTTTAAAGAATGAAATATAGTATTGAATTAACATTAAATACTTTTATGTAATCAAATAATTTAATCTGAAATGGTAAAATTTCTCTTAAAGCCAGAATATCTTGTATAATTTGTTGAAATGTTTTTTGTTCTTTTTTAGGTTTGTTAAGATGAAACACTGCAGATGGGCCTTCTGAAGATAAGGAGAAGGAAAAACAACATTGAAGACTCTGGGAATAAAAACAGGTAAATATTTCGGCTAAGTTAGGAAACAATATAATTTCCAATTAAAGTTCAGGTAGAGGAACTTTTCTGACTTTCTGTTTCAGTTGTGTTTTGATCTGCTTAAATGGTCAAGGAATGAGGGTTGGGTGAGGGTGGTGTATAACTTGACCTGCCAATCATTATACTTGACTTTGGAACTACTGATACCTGACTGACAGTTGAGTCATGTGCTGAGCTTGTGTATTGGAAGAATAAGGCCACAGAAAGTTTTGGCTTGATTTTCTATCAAGTGTCACTGTTCTTTTCTCTCTTTTGCAAGTCATTAATCTGCCTGTGTATAAAGGGTTTAAAAAAGAAATGAAGAAAATTGTTTGACTTTTTGTTTGTTCTTCATAGAATAGTATGTGTAGTTAAAACTCAAGTATTTTTTTTTTACTATGAGTTCTATGGAGAATAGTAGAAGGCATGGTTAAACATGATTAAGGAACATTTAATTCATTGATAAATATTTAACAAGTACCATATGTCAGGCATTATTTCAGGCTTCTAGTAATAGAGTGGTCTAAATGGCCCTGAAGAGTGCTAGAGTAGTGAGTTTTTTTCTAGAAGGTAATATTATTGTGAACCATACATTTCCTTAATTTTATATGCAAGGATGATTTTGGTTTATTTAAAAGACTGGGAAAGCAGCACTATGCAACCCTATGGTAGATGTTTGTATTTATAATAAATCTTTCATATTATTGTAAATAATAAAAGAAGGTATTCTATTAGTACTACTTTAAGGTACAGTGGGAAACTCAGATTCTTACAGACTTCATTTTAGCATACTGTTTTTCATGTTAAAGATAGTGATAGAATTTCAAAATTTCATCGGAGATTAACAAATTAACTCTTTAATTTGAGGAAATTTGGGGGAATTTACATGTGACAAATAGAAGTGCCATGGTCAAATAGGCATTCTGGATGATGAATTGGAGAGAGGTGAGCTTGGAACCATGGGGATCAAGTAGAGGCTATTGTAATAAGACCAGATGGCAAATGAGAGTCAGAGTCAGAAGTAAAACAGGCAAATGGGAATTAAGGGATGGAGATGACTATACAGATGCAAAGGAGATAGAATGGGTAAGAATTATTGGGTTGAAGGAAAGTAGAGTCAGAGTACTTCCTGGTTGCTGTCATGTTCAAGCACATAATATTTAATAAATACTTGCAGGGTAAATGAAATGGATTACCTGATATCTGGCTTGGGAAACTGAGTGGATTCTGGGGCTATTTCTGAGGGAGAATAGGAAGAGCAATAAATTGGGAACATGGTTGGAGGAGATAAGTTTAGTTGAGAGCTATTATATTTGAGGCCTCTGTGATTTCCACCAAGAAATGTCATTAGGTAGCCCTAGCCAGTTTGGCTCAGTGGATAGAGCATCGGCCTATGGACCAAAGGGCCCCGGGCATGATTCCCATCAGGGGCACATACCTTGGTTGTAGGCTCCTCCCCGGCCGGGGCCCTGGATGGGGCTCATGCAGGAGGCAACCAATCGATGTGTTTCTCTCATATCAATGTTTCTCTCTGTCTTTCCCTCTCTTCCACTCTCCCTAAAAATCAATGGAAAAATATCCTCGGTGAGGAATAACAAAAAAGAAAAAAAGAAATGTCATTATGTAGTTAGGAAGACTCATCTTGAGGTATAAATTGTGGAGTCTCCATTTATAGGTGATAATTAAAAGCAGTGTGAATGGATGAGATCACTCAGGGAGAACATGTGAAGTGATAGAAGAGAAGTAAGGATGGGGTACACTAATTCTTAAGGTTAAGATAGAAGAAAAACACACCTCAAAGGAGATGGGATGGGCAGGGAAGTAGGAGAAAATCAGGAGAGTCACAGCAGTCAGTGAAGGAACTGAGTTTGGAGAAAAGGAATGAATATTAGACATCTTTGAGACATCAAATAAAATGAGGACAACAGAAGTATCCATTGGACATATCAGTCAAGAAGTTGTTGACTTGAGCAAGAGCAATTATATAGATGGAGCCAGTTCACACTTGGTAAATGATGAGGAAATTGAAATACCTAATGTCATTTAATCTTTCAGAAACTTTGGTTTTAAGTAAAATAGAGAGAGGGTAGCTAAAGAGATGTATTTGAGAGAGGGCTTTTGTTTTTTAAAGGTATGAGTGATATGAATACATTTATAGTACACTCTTTATTTGCTGGGACAAAAAGCCATCAAAAAGAAAATATGAAGATAACAGAATGAGGAAGAATAATTGATATAGCTGATCACTGACTAAGCTGGAAGGGATGCAGGTCAAAGGTACTTTCTATAGACTTCTACTGAGACAGGAGGTAGGGAGGTAGTGATGATTATGGATACAGATAAATTGGTAGGAGGCAGAGTGGAGCTTGCTTCACAAAGTCCATGCAGGAGACACCCACTTATGGTAGGAAGAGGGAAATTATTTGCTCATGGGATTGGTAGCCTTTTGATGTGGGCTTGCTGACTTCTGATCTCTTGGTAAGAAGGAAGAGGGAAGAAGAGTGGGGGTAGTTTAGCTTAAGATGGTAAGTATGAACCATATGAGTAGAGCTACTTTGCTTATCTTCCTTATACTTTATATTAGTTATCTATTGCTGAGTAACAAATTATCCCAAACCTCTGTGGCTTAAAACATTTATTATCTCAGAGTTTCTATGGACTCAGAACTTGGGAGTTACTAAGCTTATTACTTCTGACATAGGGTCTCAAGAGGTTGTAGCCAAGATCTTGGCTGGGACTTAGTCATCTAGGGACTCAATTGGGGCTGGAGGAATTGCCTCCATGATGGTTCACTCACATGGCTGTTGGCTTGAGGCCTCAAATCCACACCACATGGACCTCTCTAGGGCTTCTTACGTGTCCTAGCAAGGCAGCTGGTTCCCCAGAACAGATGACCCAAGACAGAGAGCAAGGAGGAGGCCATGATGCCATCTGTGATCTAGTTATACATCATTGCTTCTGCCATATTCTCTTAGAATTGTATCATTCAGTCCAGACCACATTTGGGAGGGGAATTACTTAAGCTCCACCTCTTGAAGGGAGGAAGATCAAATAATTTTTGGACATATTTTAAAACTACCACATACCTTCTATCAGTTGTCAATTTCTTTAGGGGACAAAGCTCTTTAAAAATATGTAGATACAGCCTTTTTTGACCAGGTGAGAGGGAGGTGCAGAAAAGTGGGGAGTGGTTCAGTTGGATTTGGCTTACTTCACAATGTGGCCTTCTTTGCTGTTAATCAGTCTCTGTAACACATCAGTCTTTATGTGTTATTGCTTGTGGTTATCTAAAAAAATCGCAAAAAACTGCTGATCTTTGATTTAATGGGCCACCCTTTTAGGAGAAAAATGTCATAGTGGGCAAAATATGAATTTATTATACCAAAAAATGAATTTTGGTAACATTCATAATAGCTCCTAAACTAGAATCTAGAGTTGGGAGGAGGGAACTAATTTTTCATAGAAAAGAAATGGAAAACCAAGAGATCGTTACTGATTTCAGTGAACATAAGTGATGAGAAGCAATATAACAGACTCTAAAGCCAGATGATCTGTCTAGGTTATGATCTTAGATGGACCCTAACCTGTGTTTGTGCTTAGCTTCTGCCACAGTTTTCTCATCTGTAAAAGGGGAAAATTGTAAATGGGTAGTTATTTGTGATGGTTAGATGAGTAAACACATGTAGAGTGTTTGGAACAGTGCCTGGCACATAGCAAGCTGTAAATAAATGTTAGCTAGTGCCATGGGAGCTCTATTTTCATGGTGAGCTAATTCCATGGAATTAACATTTCAAAGAGTAAGATAATATCCACCTAAATGTTTAGAGTCTAGACCAGTGGTTCTCAACCTTCTGGCCCTTTAAATACAATTCCTCATGTTGTGACCCAACCATAAAATTATTTTCGTTGCTACTTCATAACTGTAATGTTGCTACTGTTATGAATCGTAATGTAAATATCTGATATGCAGGATGGTCTTAGGCGACCCCGTGAAAGGGTCGTTCGACCGCCAAAGAGGTCGCGACCCACAGGTTGAGAACCACTGGTCTAGACTTTAAACTACTGACCTTATTGTACTTTGTGAAGTATGTTTCTATCTAGCTCCATATCCATTAGAGTACTGTATCACATGTCACCAGTAGTATTGTGTAAGTCATATTCCCATAAAGTTTCCTAAAGCAGCCTTTTAAAAAATTTTTACATAAAAGTTCAATTTCAAGTGGAGCAATATTCTCAGCTCACAGGAATTGGCTATTAAATGAATCTGTTGGATTCTTTGCATAACAACATGCTAATAAAAAATACTTCCTTTAAACTTGATATGATGAGAGTGTTGGTGAACACATGTGACCAGTTTCCTCCTCCCTCTCTCCCCACAGCCAAAGACCTTACCTATTGTTGGGTAGATAGATTGAAGATATATTAGGTAAGGTTTTCTGACTGAATGGACTTAAGGTAGAAGATAAGAGAGGAGCTTAAGGGCCAGATACAAAAATGAAAATACTTTTATTACAAGAAACCTTTAGAATTTTACTTTGCTAATGCTTTTTAAAATTATATTTATTTGAGAGAGAGAAACATCTATTTGTTTCCCACTTATTGATACATTAATTGATTGATCCTTTTTTTCAGTCCATCTTTTAATTTTTTTGAAAAATTCCTGACATTACAGAACTAAACTGAAATGTATTAATATTCCACTCTTACATTTCATTGACAAACAAACAAAAAAAATCATGAGCCAAAAAACAACAACAAACAAAACAAAACAAAACAGGGAGAAGCTTATAAAACTAAATATGGATCTCAGCATTAACAGCTGAACAGAGAAAGGAATTAAAATGCTTTAATTAAAAAAATCACGAGTGGTTGATAAAGTGTGTAGAAACTGAAAATTTACAAACTGTTTAAAACCTGGAATCGCTGACTGTTCAGAAACTACACAGATGGATCATGGGTGGTGGTGAACAGCAGAAAGGGATTATGGATGAATCTGCATTGTTCTAGCTGCTCCCCATGCCACCTGTCTCTGAAGAAAGCCTGACATTGATTAGATATTGAGCCAGGCTGATGCTGGCAGTAGATCCAGTGATGGTAACCTGCCTATCAGTAGATCCTTCCACTGGGTTCGCAATTTTGATCTGCGCCCCAGACATCTGATGGATCTCATTGATTTTGGTGCCTTGACGCCTGATTATGCAGCCAATCAAATCATTTGGAATGGTGAGTTCATGAGAAGTAGTCTGAGCAGATGCATCCAACCTGCCCAAATAGCCTTTCACCTCTAGAGAGCTGGATTCAATGCCATTGAATCCGGTGTTGCTATGCGTCATGGGAAAATGAGACTGTTGCTGTGGAATGGTACACTTTCCTTGAATGGTATAAGCTTGACCACCTGCAAAGAGACCAGAGAACTGGACGGCTTGGGCCAGTATGGGATGGTCACACCCTTGGGGGGGACTCCAACATGATCATACAGATCTGTTTCACACACTCAATGATGGATTGCAGAATGCCAGCAATAGTGATGGCCTGCTCAGTTGAGTTGGGGAGCATATCCCCTGCCACCTGGACCTGAGCCCCTGTACTCTCTCTTATTTCCTTGATCTTGCAGCTACCTTTCCCAATGAGAAAGCCACATTGACTAGCAGGGACCACCAGCCACGGGGTGACTGGGGGTCTACTGGCAGCTGTGCTATTGGTCATAGAGCTGCTGATGTCCTCTTCCAGTTTGTCAGTGATCATAGCAAAGGCTTTGAAGATGGCATTAGTGAGTCCAGTCAAAGTGATAATTCTCTCAGGACAATTCCCTTCTGAGATGTTGATACATGCACCACTCTCCTTGCGCATCTTCTTAACTGATTCTCCTTTCTTTCCCATGATACTGCCAACTTCCTTTCCATGCGTAAGTAGGCGGATGGTGAGAGTGACATTTAATCAACCTTCAGTCACACACCAGTGCCCATATCGAGCAGTATTCTGGGGAGCTGGACTTTGAGTGGTCAAGTCTTTGGTCACTGGTGGGGAGGCAGGGGGAGGGAGGGTGAAAGCCAAGGACTGCAGGTGTGAGGTGACTGAGGGAAAAGGGGAGCAGGTGGGAAGGGGAAAGGCGGGAGGCCAGGGGCGGAACAATAGGGGAGGCGGGAAGGCGAGGGCGGGTGTAGATATGTTTTCTACAGCTTTTTAAGAGTTTTATTTTTTTTCTTTAAAAACATTTTTTAAAAAATTGATATCAGAGAAGAAGGGAGAGGTATAGAGAGATAGATACATCATTGAATGGCTGCCTCCTGCATGGCCCACACTGGGGACTAAGCCCTCAATGTAGGTCTTCCTCTTGGGTTCTGACCCCCTGCACCAGGAGCCTCCCCATGCAGATGTTCTTGTTGCTGTGCTCAGGCTTTGGCACCTTGAGCTGGACTTCTCCTGCCCTGTCCCCCACCATGGATGCTCCTTTCCTTCCACTCAGGCTCCAGCGTGCTGTGCCTGACCTCCTCTGCACATATGGCCTCCTCATGCTGCTAAGGCTTTGATACCCTGAGGCACTGCTGCTGTTCTGCTAGCCTCTTCATCACACAGGTGGATACTTATTTATCCTTGTTCACCTCTGACATCCCCTCTAGCCATGAGACTCCTGTCCCTTTCTTCCCCAGGTGCAGATGCTGGCCTTACTTTGCCTACCTTGTGGCTTTTAGATGAACCCTTCAGGAAGGGGAGAGGAAGAGGAAGCAACCAGTTTGTTTTCAGGCCATCATTTGCTCTCTGAAGGTTATGCAGTAGGTTCTTACATCAGTCTCTAGTTCCTCTCCACTAAGGAATTGGTGGTGTCCACTTACACAATGGGGCTCAGCCCCAGTTCAGCCTGATTCTGTGTCCATTGTGTGTTGACATCCTTTATACTACAATGTCCATGTCTCACTTTAGGGTCTTTATTAAGTCTTACCCTTTACTTCTGTACTTGTTCAAAGTATGTTCTCTTAACTATTGAGCCTTTATCTGTTAATTTCTCTTAAGTAAGTTTTTGCATTAGCTGAAACTGGAAAAATGTTGGTGAAAGCTGTGACGCTGCAGTTTTCTGCCTTTGCAACCTAACACCCTCCTTGTACATTCTCTTTGGCTGTGGGTTGTTAACAGTGGTAGTGATGGAGATTGGGATGGAGACTCTAGATCCTTTTGGTGAATAGATCACCTCCCCTTGGATTTGATTCAAAACAGACCCCCTTTTCATGTGGAAAGCTGAATGCTGGGACATATCCCTCCTGGAATATTTCCAGGAAGCAGAAGATCTTTTCACCCCTAGTGTTATGCTGGTGATACATCTGTAAAATGATAAAAATACGTATGAAATAGGTACATATGTTATTATGTAAACCATTATATGTGAATATTTGGTTTTAGATTAAAGGTGTTTTCAAAATGTTTCCTCCTTTAAAAAATTTTTTTAGTCTAAAAAAACTAAAAAAGGGAGAAAGAGAAAGCTCATATTTAAAGTTAGCTCCCACATTTTAAGTTGCTGGTTGATAGAATTTTCAAAGCTTTGAAAAATTTGAGAACATTTTTTTTCCAGTTTTTTAAACCATTATTTAAAAAAATATATATTTTTATTGACTTCAGAGAGGAAGGGAGAGGGAGAAGGCGAGAGAGAGAGAGAGAGAAGTATCAATGATGAGAGAGAATCATTGATCGGCTGCTTCCTGCAGGCCCTATACTGGGGATTGAGCCCACAACCCGGGCATGTGCCCTGACTGGGAATTGGACCATGACCTCCTGCTTCATAGATCAGAGCTCAACCACTGAGCCATGCCGGCCAAGCTCCAGTTTTATATTGTGAGATATAATATACATGTAACATTGTATTTTCTTAAGGGTAAAGAGGATCTTTGGAAATACTTGATTATCTTTGCAGTGTTCATAATTATGGACTTTTACTAGAGGCCCGGTACGCAAATTCATGCACAGGTGGGGTCCCTCAGCCTGGATGGTGATTGGGGCTGATTGGGGCCATCTTGCCCAGTCCCCATCAGGGTCGATCAGGGCCAGCCGGCCAGGGGGAGGAACCATGGGAGGTTGGCTGTGGGAGTGCACTGACCACCAGGGGGCAGCTCCTGCATTGAGCATCTGCCCCCTGGTGGTTAGTGTGCGTCATAGTGACCGGTTGACTGGTTGTTTGGTCACTTAGGCTTTTATATATATAGATAGAAATGTGGACATGTTTTGTTATTTATTGTATTTTTGTATTTTTATCATTGAAGGTACAGAATGTGATTTAATAAACTTTCATATTTATTAAATTCACCTTTTCCCCCCTTACATGATTTTCCTTGCAGATTAATAATTCTCTGATTCTAAATTTAACCTTTGAACTCTTAGACCTTTAGATGCTGCTCTGGAAAAACTTCAATAATGGATCAAAGGAAGAATGACAGTATTGTTCCTAGTATCACCCAATTAGAAGATTTTCTTACAGAACACAATTCTAATGTTGTGTGGCTCCTCGTTGGTAAGTAAAATGTATTTTTTTGTATATTACTTTTTTAAAAATATATTTTTATTGATTTCAGAGAGGAAGGGAGAGGGAGAGAGAGATAGAAACATCAATGATGAGAGAGAATCATAGATTAGCTGCCTCCTGCATGCCCCACACTGGGGATCGAGCCTGCAACCCCCATGTGCCCTGACCAGGAATCGAACCCAGGACCCTTCAGTCCGCAGTCCAACAACGCTCTATCCATTGAGCCAAACTGGCGAGGGCTACATTACTGTTTTGTGTTTTTTTTTTGTTTTTTTTTATGGATGGAGTAGCAACTGCCAAATTTTACTAGTAAGCAGTGATTGGCCTTATAATATTGAAGGGGGTGGGGCCATGTCACAATGAAAAGGCCATAGTTCCTATGTTCTTTAACGCTAGAAGCATACTTTCTCTTCACATACCTCTTGCCTTTCTGAATGGCCCACAACAACCTGACACAGTGATTTACAGTAAAAATTACTACAAAATGACTTTAAACTTAAAACATAATGAAATGTCATCAAAATAATTTTTTGAAATAATTGTTCTAGGAATAATTTTTATGGACACATCATAGCACTTGCTACATCAAAGCTATTACCATCAATCTAAGCTACCCTGTGAAATGTTGTATCAGTGACTGCCTTGTTTTATCATATTAAATAATTTTTTTAAAGTCAAGAACTTAATTTGATGTTGCTAAAAGGTTATACATGTTAAATTGGTTTACATTACTTTGTCCTAATTTAGAAAATAGTTATACTTTAAAAATAGATAAGTAAAAAATATTATCAGAAAATGCTTTATTGTGTTCTACCTTTTGTATATTCATGGTCTAGTTTTTTTTGGAATATTATAAATTTTGTAAGTGATTATAAACTTCATGATAGATTGACAAATGGTCAAACTTGGAATATCATTTATTGTAGTGTATTCAATAAAAGTAGACATTCTTAAATGGTTATTGTTTTATCAATTGTAGTAAAATAGTATAAGATGTCCTGTTTAATATAGATATGCCTTTAAGTGGGCTAAATTCCTACTTATTTTCATTATTTATTTTAATGTTTTTATTGATTTTAGAGAGAGAGGAAGGAAGAGGGATAGAGAGATAGAAACACCAATGAGAGAGAAAAATCAGCTGGCTACCTCCTGCATGCCCCTACTGGGGATTGAGCAAACAACCCAGGAATTAAACCAGTGACCACACTGGCCAGGATCTATTACTTTTTTTTTTTAAATAAGTCTTTATTGTTGAAAGTATTACATATGTCCCCTCTCCCCCCCATTGACCCCTCCAGTCCCCACCCCCTGACTCCATTACTTTTTAGAAAGCAGAGTTTATTGATTTAAAAAATCAATGACTTTTCTCTGATTTAAGAAATCATTAATTTTCTTTCTTTTTAAGTGACTTTAGCCTTTAGTGAATAGCTTGGAAATGAGCTTGTAGCTCGATAAAGGTGGATGTTTTTCATAATGTTCAGAATTACGGGCTTTCTCTTCCAGAACATCTTTACATATATTTAATAAAGAAAACAGTACAAAGCAGTGAAAAAGGTAACAAGAAAAACAGAAGGCTCTAATGCAGTGGTTCTTAACCTTGGCTACACATTAGAATCACCTGGGAATCTTTTTAAAATCCTGATTTCTGGGCCTCATCCTCCGGAAAGTCTGTTTCTTTGTTACTAATGTTGTGGCCCCACCCTATAACAAAGAAACAGAATTTCCGGAGGATGAGGCCCAGAAATCAGGATTTTAAAAAGATTCCCAGGTGATTCTAATGTGCAGTCAAGGTTGAGAACCACTGCTCTAATGGATCTGATTGGAATCTCTGCATTTCTGGCTAATGACTAAAAGAAAGTGAGGAAAGGTGGATAAGGTAGCTCTAACCTCTGATTTTAAAACCCAAGGTATTAAATTGTAAGAGGACTTACTACCATATTATCATTTCTGAGCGTGGTAAATGATCTTTTATCAACAAAGTTTTACTAAGATATTAAGGTGATTGAAAGTGATATCCTTTTGTACTTTTTTCTCCCAACAGCTACCATTTTGTCCTGTGGATGGATTATTTATCTCACATATTATAATTCTCGGAATGTTGGTCTTATTTTAACCTTGGTTGTCAACAGATTATACAAACATGGCTATATCCATATTGGTGAGTTGGAGTAAACCTGCATTATTTTCTTCTGTGTAATCTTAGGTATATATTATACATTTATATTTTATAAACAGGTAGTAGCTTTAGAAATTTACCATTGTTTCATGAAGGATAAACTAACCTACTTTGAATTTCTCTCTTACAGCTCTCTGTAACAGGTTATGCTCTTTACCTCATTCTTATTTGTTAAAGTGTTTCCATAGTTACTCTTTGACTTTGTTTATAAAAGATACTCATGAAAATAATTTGAAAAAATATAGACAGATATAAAATATGGAAACAGAAATTTCTCTCAATTCCATCTAGAGCAGTGGTTCTCAACCTTCCTATTGTCGCGACCTTTTAATACAGTTCCTCATGTTGTGGTGACCCCCATTTTCATTGTTACAAATTGAACATAATTAAAGCATAGTGATTAATCACAAAGACAATATGTAATTATATATGTGTTTTCCGATGGTCTTAGGTGACCCCCAAAGGGGTTGCGACCCACAGGTTGAGAACAGCTGATCTAGAGAAAGTTTCTAATGCCCAATGAATTATTTGCTCTTTTTTTTTCTTCAAGTAACCCGTACTTTAAAAACCTGTAAGTTGGAGTCATATTTCATTTTGTGGCCTGCTTTATTAGTTTAGTTTCTAACTACTTATAAGTGGGAGGTTTGCAGATAGATGGGAGAGTGTACTAGGAAGCTATATGCTCTGGAAAGTTCCAAACCCGTGAGAAAGGAGGAGGGGGCACTGAATAGAACCATTCTAGCCTTCCCTGGAGTTGAGTACCTCTTAATGGACATGAACTTCTCTCAAACATAAATAATCTTCCATTAATTTGAGGCAGTGACTGGTTCCTAGAGTAATGGAGAAAAATGGTGAATTACTCACTGTTGTGGGTTTATTTAATGGCTGTGCATAATTAAGAGAATTAGTCGTATGAAGCAGCTATTAAAACTAATGTTCTTATATGGTTTTTAGTAACTCAGTCCATAGTGATGATACGTGTGGCACTTTTTCAGGAAAAATGATAGAAATTAGTAAGGCTGTAAGGATATCAGGAAGGGAGTCAGGAGAGAACATTTAATTACTGAATGAATTGATTGCTAAGATTATTTTAAGTGTTAAGAGCTCTACTATCTATCAAAACAATTAAATTAATTGCTGTTTTTTTTTTCCCTATAACAGGCTCCTTCTCTTTCTCTGTTCTTTCTGGAAAAATCATGGTTCGTGAAATCTATTACATTACAGAAGACATGTCTATTAGGTAAAAAGCAAAAACAAAACCTAAAACAAATAAAAGAACCTACCTTAAACTTGAAAAAATTTTCTAATTATGATACTTGTTTTAATATTACTTGGTTCTTCAAATAAAACCATAAATCAGCCCTGGCTGGTTTGGCTCAGGGCTAGAGCATCAGCCTGTGGACTGAGGGGTCACAGGTTCGATTCCAGTCAAGGCACATGCCTGGGTTTCAGCTCGATCCCCAGTGGGGGTTGTGCAGGAGGCAGCCGGTCCGTGGTTCTCGTCATTGACGTTTTTGTCTCTCTCTCCCTCTCCCTTCCTCTCTGAGATCAATTAAAAAAAATTATATATATATAAAACAACAACAACAACAACAAAACCATAAATCAGAAATAATTTTTTTAGTAAATCAGACTTAATGAATTAATGTTTTAAAATATTTCTAACCATGGATTAATTTAGCTAAAGTTTAGACTGGCAAAATGTTTACCTAATAGCAGTATTTAGAAATCAATAATCTCATTTCATTGCAAGATGAAAAATTGAGGCATTAAATTACCTGATCATTTCTGTTGTAGAATTCATGGTGGTCATTTGTTATATAAAATAAGGATCAGATATGTTGATAATGCTCACCCATTGGGTTCTTATTAGGTAGTAAGTGTTTAGAATTGTTTAGCATCTGTTAACAACTCTAATTTTACTTTAAGAAGAAAACACAAATCTTAATGTATTAAGAATTAATAATATGTTTGATATGTTCTCTCTTCTGTAAGCCTTGTAAGAAAAGCTTGCTCTGTTATTATTATTATTTAAAAAAATATTTTTATTGATTTCAGAGAGGAAGAGAGAGAGAGATAGAAACATCAATGATAAGAGAGAAACATTGATTGGCTGCTTCTTGCATGCCCCCTACTGGGGATCAAGGCTGCAGCCCAGGCATGTGCCCTGACTGGGAATCGAGCTGTGACCTCCTAGTTTATAGATTGGTGCTCAACCACTGAACCACACTGGTTGGGCAGCTTACTCTTATTTTTGTGATCTTCTTAAAATTTGTTACTTAGAATTTGGAAAATTTTGAATTATTTGAGAGATGCCAGGGTTTGGCACTACTTATACTTCTCTTGAAACAGTAGAGGCATCTTCTTTGTGAGTCTAAAATTATTCCAAATTAAAAGTAAAAAGTAAAAGTTAAAATTGGAGCATGAAGTGATATATCATTACAGAAATGAAAGATTATCTTTAAAAGTTTTCTCTAGCCGAAACCGGTTTGGCTCAGTGGATAGAGCGTCAGCCTGCAGACTGAGAGGACCCGGGTTCGATTCCGGTCAAGGGCATGTACCTGGGTTGCGGGCATATCCCCAGTGGGGGATGTGCAAGAGGCAGCTGATTGATGTTTCTCACTCATCGATGTTTCTAACTCTCTCTATCTCTCTCCTTTCCTCTCTGTGAAAAATCAATAAAATATATTTAAAAAAAAAAAAGTTTTCTCTAGTGTGCTAATGTCCCCCTTTCGAGAGTTAGCCTTTTGTTTATGTAGTTTTTACAACATTAAAAATATTTATAAAATAAAAAGGTTTTCTGTTAGCACTTCATTTTCCTATTGAATGTAATCCAGTATTACATTTTACCTGAATAGAAGAATCTAATTTAAACCTGTGCATATCCTCTTTTACTTTATTAACTGAAAGAGTATGAAACATTTAGGTATGTCAGTGTTCCATTGAGAATTTTTGTTTCCTTAGTCATTATCAATTGCCTGTCTTATATAATAATTAACTAAGAATCAAGTTAAGTAAATTCTTACTTGTTTTCACTTTTGTAATTTATCTTGCTTAGAATTCAAGATGGATTTATAATTTTTCGGTGGTGGAAAATGTATAACCCAAAGCAGAAGCAGCATGGTGAGTTTTCATTTTTTTTATTTGTTTGAAATTGTTGATGACATAATCATTTTTTCATTTGTGGTTATTATAATAGACTAGAGGCCCGGAGCACGAAATTCATGTGGGGGGGGGGGTGTGTCCCTCAGCCGGGCCTGCCCCCTCTCTAATCTGGGACCCCTCAGGGGATGTCTGACTGCCTCTTGCAATCCGGGACCGCTGGCTCTTAAACGCTTACCTGCCTGCCTGCCTGATCGCCCCTAACCCCTCTCCCTGTCTGCCTGATTGCCCCTAACCATCTGTCTGCCTGCCTGATCACCCCTGACTGCTCCCCTGCTGGTCTGATCGCCCCTAACCACCTCTGCCTCACCCTGCACCCCGGACCCAGGATTTCCTCCTCTGGCCAGTCACAGGCACCTGGGATCCGGGATTCCCTCCCTCTGGCTGGCCACAGGCACCCAGGACTCGGGCCGGCTTCACCCAGGCTGGCTGCAGCCGCAGGGGACTGTGGATGGGTGGCTTAACCTGGGCCGCAGCCTCAGGCGCCTGGGACCGCGCCTGGGGCGGGCGGCTTGTCCCTCTCCCGGGCTGCAGCCTGGCTGGTCCCCGTTCCTCTCTTGCGAGCTCATTTGTGCCTGGCTGGTCCCCATTCCTCTCTCCTCAGTGTTGAGTATTTGAGCCATTATGGTGTGATGGTATGACAACCATTTGCATATTAGCTCTTTATTATATAGGATAAAAATGTTTTTTAAAAGCTTTGGACTTGATAAAACTCTGATTTTATCACCAGTTTACTAAAAATCCTTTTAGTAGTCTTCTTCTTGCCTGGTTAAATTGGTTTACTTTAGCTGATTATTTATTCAGAGTCATCCTCAGTAGGACCCTTACCCACATTTCTAGCCTTACTGCATGTTACATCTGTTGGCCTGACCCATACTGGTGATAAATGGTCTTCTCAGCACCCTTTAATCAGTCTACCAAGACACTTTTCTACATTTCAACTTCGGTGTCTTTATTCATACGTCTACCTGACATGTCTACTAATTATCATTTATCTGGTATGAAAAGGATGAACAGAAAATGGGAAACAGACTCTAGAATTTCTTCTGGTTCTGCTTTTATCATCAGAATTTTACCATCTCAGAATTTTCTTCCCAGTTATTTCATGGCTCTGTTAGTGTTCTGGTATGTGGCCCTAACCCTCCTACTAGACCAGCCGTGGGCAAACTATGGCCCGCGGGCCGGATCCGGCCCGTTTGAAATGAATAAAACTAAAAAAAAAAAAAGACCGTACCCTTTTATGTAATGATGTTTACTTTGAATTTATATTAGTTCACACAAACACTCCATCCATGCTTTTGTTCCGGCCCTCCGGTCCAGTTTAAGAACCCATTGTGGCCCTCGAGTCAAAAAGTTTGCCCACCCCTGTACTAGACACTAACCAGACCAGAGGCTTCAAGGAGGGTAGATCTTGTCTTTACTCTTTCAAATAGCTAGGCTTTGGAAAGTCTGGCCAGTGTGTAAAGCACAGGCATAGTAAGAGGAGTAAGGGCAGAACAGGGAGATTCGATGGGAGCCACTGTGCTGTGTTCCATAAAGACATTCAAGTTGACGGTGACTTGGGCCAGAGCCATGACAGTGGTTGCGGATCTATGTTGAAAGAAAAGCTGATAAATCTAAGGCATGAAAGAAAGAGAGCAATTGAAAGGATTGACTTGCTGTTGATAGGATGGGGGATATTGTAGAATAGCTTTGGGGGGAAATCAGGTATTTGGTTGATGTATCAAGTGTGAGATGTCTGTTAGACACCACATTGGAGATGTCTGAGTAGGCTGCTGGACATTTGACTCTGGCATTTTGGGGGATATATATATATATATATCATATTTAAACTACAGCTTAAGCTACTAAAATGAAAGTTAATAACAACTTTCTTTACCCATAAAAAAATTAAACTCTTCTAACTGGTCATATCTAATTTTAATTGCCTTAAATTGAATTTGTTCTGTAGGGACAAAAATGGACAAACATTTAAAAAGTCTCAAAAAACACCTGTATGATTCATAACAAAATAAGGCACTGACCGTGGTACCTTTCTGTTGAGCCTCTTGGTTAACATGTGATGCTCTGTGTTGGATTATTTCCTCAGCAGAAACAAGTGCCCATCTATCACTTTATAGGTGGATTTGTAAATTTCTGTTGTTACTTATATTTAATGTAATTATGTCTTTTATTTGAAATGGTTTGAAGTGTACGGTTCATAAAATCTTTATTTTAGTATTAAATAGTTTTTAAAAACAAACTAGTATTTTATGAAAAATCCTACTTTCCATGAAGCACAAGTTTAAATACTGATGTGATGTTTAAGTACATTATACTTTGAACATTTTGCTACTTATATTTTAGTATAAATGTATGGCTATATTAGGGTAAAGTTTTACTTTTACTCTGTAAATGACACTTTTCTATTCTTAATGTAAGATCTTTAAATTATGGCATTAGATAACCAAAATCTAGAAATTTAGGTTGTTTTTCGAATGCTAAATTAAAATGCTGTAGTAACATTAGCTTTTTTCTTTCTTTTACCAGTGTTTTATATGTATTTTAAATATGATCCTCTTTATCATAGAATTCTGGTTTAAAGTAAATCATTTAAATTACTTTAAGTGTGGAAAATGAATTGACAAAAACTTTGACTAAAGTTTTTAAAAAGTTGACTAAAAACTTTTGTGTGTATGTGTGTAATTGATGTCTTTAGATCCAAAGGCGGAAACGAGATTATACATCACAGTTAATGACTTTGAGTTTCATGTCTATAATCGTTCGGATCTTTATGGACGTCTTCAAGAATTATTTGGTTTGGAGCCAACAATAATCCCCCCCAAGAAAGAGGATGATAAAACACGGGAAAATGGAAGAACAGGAACCCAGTCCAACATTGAAAGGTTCATTGTCACACTTGAATTTTATTAATCTGCAACATGTAAACATTCACTTTTTCATTTCTGGTATATAGGAAAGTAATTGACTTTTGTAAGTTATTAACCTTGTATCCTGCAAACTTGCTGTAATCACTTACTAGTTCAAATAGGCTTTTTTGATCAGTTCTTCCAAACTTTCTACATATACAGTTATGTTATCTTCAAACAAAGAAAGTCTTATTTTCCCCTTCCCATTCTGCATACTTTTTATTTCTTGTTTTACTGCAATAGCCATAATTTCCAAACTTGAAAAGGAATGGTGAAATAGGACATCCTTGCTTTGTCCCTAGTCTTAATGGGAGAGCTTCTAGATTCTCACCTTTAAGTATGATGTTAATTAGGTCTTTTGTAGATACTCTATATACAGATGAGGAAGTTTCCCTCTATTCCTAATTTACTGAGAGATTTTAATCATAATGGCTGTTGTATTTTGTCAAATGCTTTTTCTGCATCTGGTGATACTATCATTTGATTTTTTGTTTTTAACCTGTTAATGCTAATTGATTTTTGAATGTCGAACAGCCTTGCATACCTAATAGTTTGTTTGTTTTTTAAGTCAATGATGAGGACATTTATTCTGAATTAAATATTTAATGGATATTATGTCCCAGGCACAGAGCTGAGGTACTGGGAATATGACAAGTCTTCTGTCTTGTTGGAATTTATAGCCAAGTATGGGTAAAATAGGCACTTTTCGTGCAAGAAGTATTACCTCAGGGACAAAAGTAGATTTCACATAGAAGGATCAGGAGGGCTGCGACCTGAAGGGTGAGTCAGTTAGGGAAAGGTGGTGATAAAGAGTCTTCCATAGAGAAGAAACATCGTATGCAATAGTGAAGTTACTTACTGACGCTGCAATGGATTATTTGAGGTGGGGATAATTTAGATTAAAATGGTTTAGCAGGATCAGGGGCTTTCCCCCAAGTCAGTAATGCTGTGATGTGATTGGAGGGAGGTAAGGCTGGAGGCGGGGAGACCAGATGGAAGGATGTTGTAACATTTCATCAGCTGGGTTGGTAGCAAGGGAAAGGGGGAGAAGTGGATGGAGCAAGACAGACTTAGGCAGATGAATCCATAAGACAGTGGTAGATTAGATGTGGAGAATGAGGAAGAGGGATGATCAATAGTGAATCCAAATTTCTAATGTAAGCAGCGATTATGCTTAGGCAGGGAACCCCAGGGAAAGAGGAGGTTGGGGGCTGGTGATGAGGTCTGTTTTGAATTTAGTTTTAAGCACTGAGGGTCACCTTCCTGGAGTTGGTCTCAGAAGTGCCATTTAGGAGATAATGGGTTATTGAAGAGATATGCCTCAAGTTTTCCAAAATCTTTAGTGAATTGCTGTGAACCTTTCATTCTTTAAATTTTGTGTACTTTGTGTGTGGCCAATATTTTTCTCATTCTTTGCCTGTCATTTCACAAAGTGGTGAGAATAGGGAAGGAAAAGGATCAGCTCAGTTGTCAGAAATGCTCAAAACAGTAGGAAACATCAAAGTGACTTGTGTCATGTCATTTTCTCTCTCTAAAAACATATTTTATTTTATTGATTTTAGAGGAAGGGAGAGGGACAGAGATATAGAAACATTGATGAGAGAGAAACATCGATCAGCTGCCTCCTGCATGGCCCCCACTGGAGATTGAGCCCACAACCCAGGCATGTGGCCTGACCAGGAACTGAACCATGAGCTCCTGGTTCATGGGTCAGTACTTGACCACTGAGAACACTGGCTGAGCATTGATATTATCCATTTGTTTTAATAATAGTTTTGGCTGTCTTCTAAAATGTCACGTTGTAGTGTGGTGAGCAGATGGTAGATGTAATGACAGCATCTCATAATTGACACTTTTGACATTAAAGCTTGTCATTCTAAGAACATAGTTTTGTTATTACAGCTTGATCTAAAAACTGACACATGGCGGAGTGCATTCAGAAATGAGACATTTTAGGGCTATTAGTCTTCTGTTAGATGGTCTCTGTTTCATTTACTGGAGCCGTCATTAGATGTATTTGGAAAGGTACAGCTGGTATTAATAATGTATATTTCGTGTAGGTCAACTGTATCCTCAGGTATTTAAGTCTTTCCTATATACTTCAGTTTTTATTTTTTCTTCTTAGAGTTAAAGTAAAAACAGAATCTCAGGACCCCACATCTTCATGGAGATCGCTTATTCCAGTTATAAAGGTCAACGTGAGCACAGTAAGTAATTTTACTACAATTAATACTTGGTGGGTTAAAAACAGAACCTTTTATTTTTTGCAAACATTATTTTCACTTAAGAAAAGAAAGTAATTTTGTACTTTTTGGGTTCCAATTTTCATAAAGTGTGAAAGAATTCTTTTTTTTA